CCGGTCAGTTGAGCGCGGCCGCCGTCGCGTTTGCGCCCGGCGCGAGCGCGACGGCGCCGCCGCGCTCGAGGTCGAGGCGGCCGAGCGCCGGCGCGCCCGCCAGGTCCAGGCGCCCGCCCGCGCGGACGGCGACCGCGACCGCCGTCGCGTTGCCCGAGAGCGCGAGCGCGCCGCCGCCGGCGACGGCCGCGGCGCCGAGGGCGGCGCCGCCCGCCGCCGACGCGGCGCCGCCGCCGTCGACGACGAGCGCCAGGCCGCCGAGGCGCCGCGGGAGCGCCGCCGCGGCGCCGCCGCGGACGGCGACCGCGCCGCCGCCCGCCGCCGCGCCGCGCGAGAGGTCGTAGGCGCCGCCCCGGAGCTCCCACGTCGCGCCGGCGCCCACGGTCACCGTGCCGTTGCTCGACCCGCCGCCGCGGAGCACGAGGGCCGTCGCGACGGCCACGTCGCCGGAGTTGGCGAACGCGGCGCCGCAGTCGAGCGCGGCCGACAGCGACCCGCGGTTCGCGAAGGTGCCGCCGCCGGACACGGCCGCGGCGCCGGACGCGGATCCGGCGTTGACGAAGGCGCCGCCCGCCGCGACGGCGAGGGCGCCGGCGAGCGCCGCGGCGCCCGCGTTCTCGACCGCGACGCCGGCGGCGACGGCGCAGTCCGCGAGCGCGCCGCCGCGCGCGAGCTCGACGACGGGCCGCGCCCCGCCGCCGGCGGACGGCGCGGCGGCGAAGGTCGCGTTCGCCGCCGTGAGTGATGTGGTGTTGAGGACGAGGCGCCCCGCCGCGGACGCCGTCGCGCCGCGGAGCGCGAGCCGCTCGCATTCGATCGCGGCCGTCGCGCCGGCCGTGCGCTGGCGGATCGCGGCGCCCGGCGCCGCGGCGAGCGACGCGAGGGCGAGCGCACCCGCGCCGACGACGTCGAGGGCCGCGCCCGCGCCGACCGTGACGTTCGTCGCGCCGGCGAGCGCGCCGCCCGCGGCGACGTCGACGCGGAGCGCCGCGGCGCCCGCGACGCTCCCGTTCGCGGCGCCGGCGAAGCGCAGCGCGCCCGCGACGGCGACGGCGCCGCCGCCGCCGCCGCCGATGACGTGCGCCGCCGCCGCGCCGCCGTCGAGGAACGCCGCGCCTCGCGCCGCCGCGCCGCCCCAGAGCGACAGCGCGCCCGCGACGGCGACGGCCGCGCCGCCGCGGACGCGGACGGCGGCGACGCGCGCGGCGGCGCCGCGCGCGGCGTCGTCGAGGGGCAGCGGCGCCGCC